GGGAGTTCTAGTCCCGCCTTAGGCATGAAAACCAGCTGGGTGACTTTGGGCCAGTCACCAGGAGATGATACAAAATGTGTTACCGGTGATATCTGTCACCCTCAAGGTTAGCTAACATTTACCCAAATATGAGTCCGATGTGTTGGAAATGTAAGCAAACGAGGGGCACCTTCTTCCACACTTGGTGGCTCTGCCCAAAAAGTAAAAAATATTGGGGGGAAAAAATAGACTGTGGATAAAAGAAATTACAAGTATTCAGTTAGAATTCAAACCTGAAATGTTTTTGTTGGGAACGTTAAAAGGGGACTATGCAAATGAAATTAAACACTTAATTCTCCATATAATCACAGTGGCAAGAATTGCGTTGGCACAACGTTGGAAAGGCGAACAAATCCCAACAAATAATTGGATTACTCAGAAAATATTTGACTGCGCTGAAACTTAGGGATAAGGATGACTCAAGATATATCACAGCTTGGGATAAATGGTATAAGTGGATTAAAGAGAAAAAACTAGGAACTTAAAAGATATGTATTTGATGAATGGAGTACTTCAATGAAGAATGTTTACCAAATAAGAAATGAATAGTAGTAAAATCATTATCAAGAAGAAAGCACACCATTCTAGTTGATCAGAAGCATATAGAAGTTTTATATGTTCTGTATGCTTATTTATATTGTATTTGTATATATCAATTTTGTCTATAATGTTAAGTTGTATTCAATGTATTGTATATACTGTTTTTCTTTTTTAATCGCTAATAAAGTTTTTCTTTAAAAAAAAGAAAAAGAAAAGTGGCTGGATGATTTGGAGCCAATGACCAGGAGATTGTGAATTCTAGTCCCGCTTTAGGCCTGAAAGGTGGCCGGATGACTTTGAGCCAATCACCAGGAGACATTGAGTTCTAGTCCCACCTTAGGCACGAAAGCCAGCTGGGTGACTTTGGGCCAATCACTAGAAGATGTCGAGTGGTAGCCCCATTTTAGATGCAAAAGATGAATGAATGACTTTTGGCCAATCACCAGGAGCCTGTAAATTTTAATCCTGCCTTAGGCATGGAAGCTGACTAGATGACTTTGGCCCAATCACCAGGTGAGTTCTACTCTCGCCTTATGGATGAAATCTGGCTGGGTGTCTTTGGACCATTGACTAGGAGATGGTGAGTTCTAGTCCCACCTTAGGCAAGGCTGGGTGAGGAATTCTGGGAATTGTCGTCCACGCCTCTTCAAGAAGACCAAGGTTGAGAAATGCTGAAGGAAATGACCACCAAAATCCATCCAAACCTTCTGATCCAACTTTGGGACCTGCATCTGCAGAAGACAGCATCTAACCAGTTCTTGATGTACCTTCCGGAGTTGGATTGGAAGAAGTTGGATGGACTAAGTTGCATTAACAGAGGGAAACAATCCAGATCAAGGGAGGTACTAATACCACTCTACAAAGCCTTAGTAAGACCACACCTAGAGTCCTGCATCCAGTTTTGGTCCCCACACTATAAAAAGATGTTGAGTCTCGAGAAAAAGTGCAGTGAAGAGCAACCAGGATGATGAGGGGACTGGAGACTTAAAACATATGAAGAACGGTTGCAGAAACTGGGCATGGCTAGTCTAGGAAAGAGAAGGACCAGGGGAGACAGGAGAGCAGTCTTCCAACATTTGAGGGGTTGCCCCAGAGAGGAAGAAGGGGGTCAAGCTATTTTCCAAAGCACCAGACAAGGAACAATGGAGGGAAACTGAACAAGGAGAGATTCAACCTGGAAATGAGGAGAAACTTTCTGACAGTGAGAACAATCAACCCATGGAACAGAAGTTGCCCTCGGAAGTTGTGGGAGCTTCATCACTTGAGACTTTCAAGAAGAGATTGGACTGCCGTTTGTCAGAAATGGTGTAGTCTCCTGTTTGGGCGGGGGGTTGGACTAGATGACCTCCAAGCTCCCTTCCAACTCTGATTATCTGTTATCTGAACTTTGTCAACTAGTCCCGTGTTAGACGGTTTACAATTTTACAATATGGATCTGTAGGAGTGGCAGAAACCGGGGGGGGGGGGGGAGGAGTTTAACTGGGGAATTCTGGGAATTGAAGTCCACAAGTCTCCAAGTTGCCAAGCCTGGGCACTCCTGCCATAGACCAAGCAGATGACCACTGATGGTCCGACTCACCTCAGACTCCAGGTGGGCTGGCTTTTCTGACTGCCCGGAAGCCTGAAGAACTTTCAGGACCACCTGCCAACCACGGTCTGCCTTCTCCTCCAGGGAGTCCCCTTTGGTTCCAAGCCCTGTTGCTTCTTTCACCTCGTTGACCCACGGACACCAGTCACGGTGCTGGGCCAGGGGGTCGAAGAAAACCCGGGTCAATGAATCCTGTTAGGGGAGAATAACAGCCTGGGTTCACACAACCAGATTAAGTTGGGTAAGGAATTAGCTCATCATTCACCTAAGCCTGAGACCTCCAACCGTGGCAGCTTTAAGACTCGTGGGTTTCGACTCCCACCATTCCTCATCCAGCCATGTTGAGTTGGTCCACAAGACTTAAAAGTGGCCAAGTTTGGAGACTCCTGCCATGCCCCTGTCAGAGTCTGAATCCATGGAGGAAGATGAACAGCTGACAGGGAGCGGGAGTGTGGCTCTGTTGGCTGTGGAGGAAACTGGGGAAGGGCAAAGCTCGGCTGGGCAGAGCAGGAGAGAGGTAGAACAAGGGAGAGGGAGTTCAGAGGAAGACCCAGGCCCACCCCCTCTTCATCCTAGGGCATGCAGGGAGGAACGGAGAAGGGAGCAATGTGAGTTGGGTGGCTTACGGGGGAGGAAAGGGCCCTGATTCCCTTCATTAGCCAAAGCTGGGAATGAGAGTTTAAAAGAAATACATGCTGAATGCAGCAACGGCTGGGAGCAAACGTGAGTTTATCTTGTGTTGACTTTGGTTATCTGTGTTCCTGGCATCCTCCTAACCGTGTTGAGTTATTGCCATGCCTTCACATCTGGAATTCTTGCTCCTGCCCTGCTGGACTAATTACCTCATTTTGCCTTGATTGGACTTATAAAGTTTTTGTTGACCACGTTTTGGACTTGATTCTCTGCAGCCAAAGGCTGCTCCTGGGAGAGTTTTTCTCCAGCCCAGAAGGTAACCAGGATATTGGGGGCAAAGTTGGAGCGAATAAAGGGACTCCTACTAATTATCTGACTGTGTTGCCTTTGTGCCACGCCCCTTTGGGTCATCACAACTCCTGACCTAAGCTAAGTAGATTCAGATGTTCATACATTCCATCAAGGCTCCAGAAACGATCTTTAATTGGACCACTAGTTCTTGGATGAACCTGACCAAGCTTTTGATCTACGATGTAGTGAAGAAAAATGAAACAGGAGATGGAACGAGAAGCAATCTACTTAAGCCTTTCTCAAACTAACATCCATTCTTCTTGTGCTGGGACTTCAACTTCTAATCGGTTGAGAATTCTGGGGGCTGAAGTCCAAGGCCTTCTGGAGGCATCTGATGGGAACAACTTGACTGAGCTACTGACCAGTTGGAACCATATAGGGGAGATCTTGATTGCTACCGAAGACCTCCATCATATCCATCTTCCATCTTCTCTTCTGCAGATTAAGGTCCTCTTTTCACCTTGCTTGATAGAACCCGAAACTATTTTGGTGGATCTTTCTCTGGACGTGTTCCAGTTTGTTCTTGGGGGATCTTCTCTGGACGTGATGTTCTGACCCAAACCTTGTTCCAAGGAAACAAACACGAAACGGAGGTAACAGCAAAACCTTTTAATGATTCTTTATGAATTCCGTTCCTTCCCGGTGAAAAGGCTGTTTCAAACTAATCGTCTCTGATAAGAATGAGCCAAGGCTGTGCAAGGCTGCCAAGAATACTAGATAAAGTTACTAAGAAATATTTCAAACACAAAGAGTCTCCAAACACAAACTAAGGGAGTCCGAACATCCACAAGGCTTGAGTGAAAAAACTCCTTTGCTTCCTGCAAAGAGCTCCGGTTTCTCGGCTGGCTTTTATCCCTTAAGGGAGGGGCCATTACTTTGCAGCCTTACTCCTGAGTCACCTGTGCTGCTGCAGCTGCTCTTTCCTTCCAGCAGCCCTGTGTGCACAGGCTCCTCGGGGGTCCTCTTCATCACTGCTGCCAGCTTCCACAACCTCCGAAGGCAGCACTCCACTCCCTGATGGTCCTCGCTCCTTCCCTGCATCCCACGCAGGCCCCTCATCCGAGTCCTCGCTCTCCGAGACCTCAGCCGTCTGCACCTGCTGCTGGCGAACCACAACATGTGCTCCAGTTTGTTCTTGGTGGATCTTCTCTGGATGTGCTCCAGTTTGTTCACATCCTATTTAGATTAAGGTGTCCAGAACTGGACATGGAACTCCAAGTGGGATCTGACCAGATTAAACAGAATGGGAACACCGATTTCTGTGATCTCTTGAGCTTTTCATAATCCCTAATTTTTTTTAATTTTTTTATATTTACAATAATTCCATCTTTCATTCATACAATGGGTACATATATTTTGTGCTAACAATTATAATTAATACCAATATAACAATAAACACATTTTCTCTAAAAGCCATTCTTTCTTATGTCTAATACTTTTATAAATCCTAACTTATTCCTCTATATATTCATCTACTCAGTTTTAACTTGTTTTATTTCCCAACCATTGATAAAATAAGTCCCACAGCATGTAAAATCTGGTTTCTTCTTTTTAATTGCCAGTGTTAATCTCTTAGATCTTTAGCCTTTTGAGGTAGGCCGAGTCAGGAAACAAACCTTACAAGGACCTTATGGTTTTGGGGTATAACAACAGGAGCTTGAGCTGCTAAAGTTTCCTTCTGCTTCCCCTCATATACCAAAGAGAATCAAGGTGAGACTACCTTGAGTTTCTTCCTCCTTCTTTACCAGAGCTGAGATCTTGATTTTGGTCTTTATAAGCGGCTTTCCTACAGGTAATCCTCAACTTACAGCCATTCATTTAGTGACGGTTCAAAGTTATAATGGCTCTGAAAAAAAGGGGGAATTGCCATGGCCAGTTCTAGACCTGCCTTAAGCATGAAAGCCAGGTGAGTGTTCCTGGCACAATCAC